TTATCACCATTTATTCCCAACTTAATAACCCTTAGCTTGTAACTACTTTTCTGACCCTCTCTCTAAAGGTGCCTAATTTACAGGGGAAAGACTCTAGCACGCCAAGATAAGCAGATGTTAAATCAAACGACAAAGATATTACTGTAAGAAAATAACTAAGAAAGGATTTTTAAGAAACGTGTCGTATGAAATTTTTCCAATAATCGAAGATTAGTCACTTTAAATACTGGTGCAACCTGCAACTCATACGTTCAAAACGACGCACTAAAAAGTATAGAAAACATTACTATTAAAACAGCGACATGGATTTTAGGGAAGTAAGATATTGTATGGATAAGGCATTTATACCAAACAGCTGACTGGCAGTTCCAGCTCCACACTATAAAGTAAAACTTTAGTTTTAAGAGAAATATATGCGAAAGCATTATATAGTCTGCTAAAGAAGCAATTTTTAGAAGTGTCAAGGGACGTATTCGATCAGTAGGGTAAGGAATGATGATATTAGAGAACTAAACATATTAGCGATAAGAGTAAAATTAAACTGATCCAGACAGAAGCGTTCGAAACATCTGTCAGAATACCAAACGAATGACTACAGAAATTTATTTTAAACTGTCTTCCGCAAGGAAGGAAGAATTTTAACCCTGAAAGGCAGAAGAATAAAAGACAGAACAGTACAAATCGCGTAGTCTATGCGCGGTAAGAAGATTGAGTTAAAGATAGACTGAAAATATACATCAACTTGGAAAATAACATGTCTGGACCACAACATAAAATTTATAGTCTAAAGTCACATGCTACCATAATATTAAAAACAGAACAGTACTGACTTTAAAACGCGTCGAGAAATGTATTTTCAGCAGTGTTGATATCCAGTTTCAATTTGTTTTTTAGACACCACCCAAGGAAATGTACTTATGCATTTTACCTCCCATGTCAAAACCTTATTAGAATCCGCTGCATAATTTATATGGAATATGAAGGGGCTAAATGGTCATACACAGCCTTAAAACATAGAAAGAATCTGACAATTGATACCCGAATATTTTATTTTTGTTGTTCAGCCTTAAAGATGGACGCCATATGTTCCTCCGAAACGTTTGAAACTACCTACAAGTTCAAACTACAACAGAAGCCAAAACACTTTCTCTTCCGAAGAAACTAATTAGATCAAATAAGAGATTGAGATGAACTCTGTTACTAAATATACCTTCGTTATAAAGCTGAACTGATACAAATGAAAGGAAAATATGTGACGTGCTCCTTACTTTCAGAGATATATTCTGTCTTATATGATGTGAGAAATGACGGCTTTGATGTGCTGTTCCTTATCGAAGTGACAAGACTTCCAAAATTGCTATTGGAAAAGTTTCTAGCTATCGGCAGAGAGTTACAGATAAATGAGAGTTGTCCATAGCAGAAGGATGATACTCTGAAAATCAATGGCTTATCTTTTTCGAGATTTTAACATGGGAAGAACATATAAAGTTCAGAACAAGGACCTTCTTTTTTATATACACAAAGAGAAGTTGGTTCATTCTCTGTGAAAAAAATACAAATTGAACAGATAAATTGAGCCTTGTCGACTAGAGTTACCTTTCCGGACACATCTACACATCGA